GTGGACGGCGATGAGACACCTGATGCTGCTGGTAATGGCATTCCACCTAGCATGCAACAGCGGGTTGACGCTGTGATGGAAACACTGGAGAAGGTGACCAAAAACCTATTGCGTGTTGCTCGTCACCTGCCGTATCCATTTACAATGAGGTTACTCGATTATTCCGTGGGATTTTGTATTCAAGAAGTCGCCGCTTTGTCGACGTTGCTAGGAGAGGAGTTCGATCGACGGAAGGTTGAGATGATGGAGACTGTTTTAGCGGAAGGTGGGGATGTGAGGGCATTTTCTCGATACCGCGACTGGTTTAAACAGCAACTGCATGCAAGCCGCATTATGCGGTTTGCTAGGTTTCTAATGAGTCAAAAACACGTACATCCTACTCTCCCAAGAAGCCTGCGCTTGAAGATGCTGGAAGAACTTCTGCATCTCCAGGAATTGGCTATCTCACTCATCGATGCTGTAGTTTCACGGGTGTTACGTTCCAATCCCGAGGGGGAGCTTAGCTTGGAACTCACAAATGAAGTTACAGAGGAAGTGAGACGAATCGTCTATCTCCGCCGTGCTCAGGTGTTCATGTCCCCACATTTGAGCCACCAGCTGCGAGCCATTGAAAATATGAATCACCGCGGAATCCTTCTGCAACAAGAGAAGATCGCTAAAATAGAAGCACGTCCCAAACTAACCTTTGACGAGCAAGTTACCGAACTCATTCACGTTGGAAAGTGGAGAAAAAAGACCGTAGACGAGACTCGAAAGGCGATAGAGGAGGCCAATGCCAAGAAAGAAGAATCAGTGTACTACTTTCCCCCAAGGAGTCAGAGCGCTGCCAGTGAACGCCAGGGCCTGCGCTTGAAGATGCTGGAAGAACTTCTGCATCTCCAGGAATTGGCTATCTCACTCATCGATGCTGTAGTTTCACGGGTGTTACGTTCCAATCCCGAGGGGGAGCTTAGCTTGGAACTCACAAATGAAGTTACAGAGGAAGTGAGACGAATCGTCTATCTCCGCCGTGCTCAGGTGTTCATGTCCCCACATTTGAGCCACCAGCTGCGAGCCATTGAAAATATGAATCACCGCGGAATCCTTCTGCAACAAGAGAAGATCGCTAAAATAGAAGCACGTCCCAAACTAACCTTTGACGAGCAAGTTACCGAACTCATTCACGTTGGAAAGTGGAGAAAAAAGACCGTAGACGAGACTCGAAAGGCGATAGAGGAGGCCAATGCCAAGAAAGAAGAATCAGTGTACTACTTTCCCCCAAGGAGTCAGAGCGCTGCCAGTGAACGCCAGGCCACAACGCCGCTCTTGCGGAGCAGCCCCCCAACACTCCAATCACATGGAACTTCCCAAAACTGGAGAGGCTCTCCCAAAAGCGGATTATCTGGTGAGGTGGAGGGATACCTACCACGGCATCACGAATCCCAGGTCACGCAGAGCGCTGCTACTGATGTCGTCAATGGCTCAGGAACACACTTCGCCAGCAGGCGACCAGCTTGCCAATCCCCCCTCCCAGAGTTTCATTCTTTACGGGTTCAAAGCGAGAGCAGTTTCATGGGAGTCACAAGCATGAAGGAGATAAGCACAGGTGGTTTTGGAAACACTGAGGCAAGCCTCGCTCCAGAAACCCTGCCGGCAACAGGCAGATTCAGCCAAATGTATATAGGTGGAAGCGAGCTAAAAAGCTATGTCCAGCCATACCAGGCTCCCACTCTTGCCTATCATCCTGGCCAATCACTGCCTGAGCTGGGCACAGCTCCTTCCGAACCGGGCGTTAGCCTCAATATACGCTGGGATGAACATGCCTCTCTCGGCCCTGCCTCCACTTCTTCTCTGGACGCCAGGTTGCAACGAACAGTGGCAGGTGCCGACGTGCCACTGGAGGCACCACGGCAAGATTGGGATGCTGCAAAGCAGTCTGGCGTGGCCACAACACCATCGTGGTCGCCATGGTCCAGGAACTGGCCTCCCCTCCTACCTTCCACCCCTCCGCGTCAGACTCCAGCTTCGACTTCCCCAACGGCAGCATGGTCACCATGGTCCAGCAACTGGCCTACCCTCCTACCCATCACCCCTCAGCGACAGACTCCACATTCACACATGACACTTGACAGGTCACAGGGAGGCACTTCCCATCAGACATCGCAAAAGGGCGATCGGCTGCCATGGGTGTCCTCGTTTTTCCCTGCTCCTTCACCCTCTTCGGGTCCCTTCACAACACAACAATCTATGGCCTCGGCAGGTGCTACGATGCTCTACTCCGGGCAACCACAGGAGGGGTTTGCGAGCGAGCAGAGCATGACCCCGCCCCCGTCACGACCTCACCTTCCCAAGCAGCCTTCTTCCATATCCCCTGCGTCTTCGCTAATGATGGAGCAGGGAGTTCAA